AACGGGGGAGGGTCAGGGAGAGAGGGAGACACAGAATCGGAAACAGGCTCCAGGCTCTGAGCCATCAGCCCAGAGCCCGACGCGGGGCTCGAACTCACGGACCGCGAGATCGTGACCTGGCTGAAGTCGGACGCTTAACCGACTGCGCCACCCAGGCACCCCTTATAAATTCTGGTTTAAAATATAACCGATATGGGGCACCTGGGTGGCTCAATCAGTTAAGCGTCTGACTTCGGCTCAAGTCCTGATCTCACTGTTCATGGGTTTAAGCTTCACAATGGGCTCTGCGCTGACAGCATGAAGCCTGGAGTCTGCTTCTAATTGTCCCCTCTCTCTCTCAAAAATAAACACATAAACCTTAAAAATAAAACCAATATAAAGATAGGGATATACAGGTATAAATGCAATTATACTTTACCACTAAGAAGACCATAATAAATGATCAACATAGTACATAACCAAAAGGAGAAATTGATCAAAGCACTTAGCTAAAAATTAAGGTATCCAGCCAGGAATTCTGCTTATGGTCACATGGTCTAGACTCTAAACAGGTTTAGCCATAGACATCCTTACCAGATATTAAAAGAATATGTTACTTAATTATAAATCTAATTCCTCAAAATTAGTATCAAGCAATACTATATATTTTAGCAGCATTTAAAGATAACTATATATATTTGATATTAATCAATATTATATAATACCTTTAGTAGCAGCACACAAATACAGAGCCATTTGCTGCTACTATTATTGCTACTGCTGCTATTTCTGCTACCACTTACCACTTAATAAGCTCTAAAATATGCTAAGTATACTCTAATCACTTTATAAGCAATTTTTTAATGTTTATTTTTGAGAGAGATAGTGTGAGTGGGGGAGGGGCAGAGAGAGAGGGAGGCAGAATCTGAAGCAGGCTCCAGTCTCCGGGTTGTCAGCATAGAGCCCAACACCAGGCTTGAACCCACGGACCACAAGATCATGACCTGAGCCACCCAGGCGCCCTTACTCTTACCACTTTATAAATATTTACCTGTTTAATCCTCCTAACAGCCCTGTGAGAGAGGTACTATTACTAGCCCTGTTCAACAAATGGAGAAACTGAAGTAAAAATAGCTCACAGTAGAAAAACTTAATCAAGATTACATAGGTGTAAAGAGCAGAGTTGTGATTAAAACCCAGGTAGTCTGATTCAAGCTCATTCTCTTAACCAATAAAAACAAAACGAAATTTAAAAATCCACTTCTCTAATTTTAATATTACCAATCACAGCTTATCCTATACTTGATTTCTTTATTCTTGAGGCTTCTACATAATGTTTCTTTCCTTTATATTGATATTAGAGGGGCGCCTGGGTGGCGCAGTCGGTTAAGCGTCCGACTTCAACCAGGTCACGATCTCACAGTCTGTGAGTTCGAGCCCCGCGTCGGGCTCTGGGCTGATGGCTCAGAGCCTGGAGCCTGTTTCCGATTCTGTGTCTCCCTCTCTCTCTGCCCCTCGCCCGTTCATGCTCTGTCTCTCTCTGTCCCAAAAATAAATAAAAACGTTGAAAAAAAAAATTTATATTGATATTAGAATCCTGCTTATAGGACTCCAGGATTTCTGAGAGACATTTTAGAGAGAATGTAAAATAAAGTGAGTAGAACATTTGCCAGAGTATCATACTGTTTGGATAGGATTTAGCTCTAGTATTTGCCAGCTTTGTGACCTTAAGCAAAGTACTTAATTCTCAGAGTATCCTTATCTATAAAATGGGAATAACAATAGTAACTGCCTATGCCATTGTAAGAATTAGAGAAGATTCTAACTAACAAATATTTATCAGGCAACTAATATACACCATATGCTATTCTAGGTAATAGGGATACTTATGAAAAAGACTGACATTACATTTTAACAGGACAGATAGATAATAAACAAGTAAATAAATAAATTCAAACAGTAAGAGCTATGAAGAAAATAAGGCACTGTGAAAGAAAATGAGGTAGAAAACATTGGCAGAGGCAAACACACAGTATATATTATTATTGACAATTTAACATTAAAGGCTCCTAAGATGACTTTTCCCCATTTAGTATTTTTAAGAATTTAAAGGAAGACTCTTTGAGGGCAGGGAATATAGTTTTCATTCACTCAGTCTTTAACTAGGTTCCTAGCACAAAGCTAGGTACTTGGAACATAAAGATGAATGTAACAGTCACGGCCTTCAAGGAGGTCTCAACATACTAGAAAACCTGGTGTTGTCCTTAATGGAACTTAGAGCCTTGTAAAGAAGACAGTAAGAGTAAGGTAAGTGTTAAAAACCGAAAAGTACAAGGACCATTCCAGATGGGAATCTAACTCAAAATTGGGGATGTCAAAGGCAGCTTCCTGAAGAATTAGCAGAAGCTGGTCAAAAAAAAAAAAAAAAAAAAAAAAAAAAAAAAAAAAGGAAGAAGGAGAAAGCGCAAAAGAAAAAGTTTATAGAGGACTTCTGATTGTACAGATAAACAGGAAGCCTTATAAGCCATCTAAAGACTTCTAGGGGTGCCTCAGTGACTCAGTCAGTTAAGTGTCTGACTTAGGCTCAGGTCATGATCTCACAGTTTGTGGGTTTGAGCCCCATGTCGGGCTCTGTGCTGACAGCTCAGAGCCTGGAACCTGCTTCGGATTCTGTGTCTCCTCTCTCTGCCCCTCACCTGTTTGCTCGCTTGCTCTTTCTTTCTCTCGTTCTCTCTCAAAAATAAATAAAACATTAAAAAAATAAAATAAAATAAGGACTTCTAGAATTTGTCCCCAGAGTCAATGAGTTTTTTCATCTCCTCCCTGAAAAATTAAAAGTACAGACAGAACATATGAAACAATAGTTTTTAAGATATAGGATTTCAGGTAAGAAAGAGTGATCCCTGAAAGATAGGAAATAAATGCAACAGGTCCTATAATCACCTAGGCTTACTGCCTTGAGAGTTTCTAGGCTGTGCCATGGGGAGAGGGAACCAAGATATAACCCAGCAAACCTGAATTGAAGAGACTCTGCTCTTCAGTCCAGAAAAATGGGAAGACTAAAGTTCACAGGGAAGAATATTAAAGTGGAGATAGCTGCACAAAGAATGAATTCCAGAGATCTGCAGACAGACCTCTCAAATATCTAGCAGGGTATTAGTCAGCATATGTGAGTGAGTAAACAATCCAAGAGAGCAGAAAGAATCACCCTAAATGATGAGGCACTCACACAGGGCATGGAACAGTGCCTGTTCCCACCAGCCAGACTAGAAAACCTAACAAAATTCATAGAGCATTAGGTAGAGGACTCAGAAGGAGCTAGCCTCTACTGAGGTAACCCACAACTAAACCCTGCTCAGATCCCACCTAACAAATCCTAGAAGCAGATTAAAAGCATCAAGCTGATTCCCTGTAACTTAACTGTATCTCAGAATAAAATTCAAGAGTATTTATAGAAATATAACAACACCCAGCACCCAGCAGGTAAAATTCACAACATCTGAAATTTAATTTAAAAATTTTTTAATTAAAAAAAAGGCACGATTCCATTTATATAAAACTATGGATATGAAAACTAATCTACAGTGACTGAAAAAAAAAACTCTAGAGTTGCCTGGAGGTGGAGGGATGGGGTAGAAAAGGTCCACTGGTCTATCTTGCACTTAGGATGGATCTTTTCCAGGTATCATTTCATAATATCATGCACAGGCCATTTAGAAAATATTTGGTTCACTGATTTTACAGATCTTATAAATGGTAATACATTTCATTATATAATATCAAAAAGTCACACTGTATATCACCACCAATATCATTAGGAAAGTCTACAAGTACCATAAACTGCCAAGTTCACAGTGGCATATACAGTTTTTCAAAATTCTGATTTTCAATCAAATTTTATCAGGCTTACTTTATTTCAAGAATTGCCATAGTTTATCTGTCAGTCATTCTTTCAAGTAAAAATAATGTTCCATGAAAAATGTGGCTAGTTCAGCTAACAATTCAAACTATTCTACAAGTGCTTTTCCTCAAGATAATCATCCTATTCTGCATGCAAAATGTTTTGAGTACTACTCACTTCTTCACACAGAATGTTAAAAAAGCTCAAGGGCTGAGTTAATAAAATTAGTAATTTTTACTGCTTCATCAAGGATATTCTCAGTTGAAACTGGCTTTTGTTAGCTGTTCATTAATGAAGAAAACTACTATGCGGGGGGAGGCGGGTAGTGCCTGGGTGGCTCAGTCAGTTAAGCATCTGGGTCTTTCGGCTCAAGTCATGATCTCACATTTCATGAGATTGAGTCCCACATCAGCTCAGGTCCTGATCTTGAGGTTCGTGGGGCCCTGCCTCAGGTTCCATGCTGACAGCACAGAACCTGTTTGGGATTCTCTCTCTCCCTCTCTCTCTATCCCTCCCTCGCTTGCACACACTCTAAGTAAATAAATAAACTGAAAAAAAAAATGAAAAAAAAAGATTGGTATCACTTTTTTAAAGTAGGATCTATGCCCAGTGCAGAGCCCAACATGGGGCGTGAACTCACAACCCTGAGATCAAGACCTGAGCTAAGACCAAGTTAGACGCTTAATCAACTGAGCCACCAGGTGCCCCTTATAAAAGGCAAATAACATATTATTACTATGAAAATACTTTTTACCTCACACACTGCCTGAGAAAAAATGTCAGTCTCCAAAACTCCCTAGACTACTCCTTGAGAACTGCCTGCCCAAAGGACACTGAAAGAATTATAGGGAAGTATAGTCCACAACATTAGAATCTACAAGAGAAAAATAACCTTTCAGATTTCTTTCTAGTCCAATTCTCTCATTCTATAAATGAGGAAAGTGGGGCACAAAGAAAATAGGGTTTCCTATCTCACACATTAGTAGCAGAGATGTGACAGCACTTTGAGGACTTCTGAGTTGTTTTCTACTATTCTTTGCATTATACTATTCCTTAAAAAAAAAGAGTTTAGCAAATTCCACATTTTCCTTCTTTACTGAACAATGGCATAAATACATACATTTTGTGGAGAAAAGGAGTTTATCTTTCCTAATGGAGAGCTGAGTTTTGTGGTCTTTCCTGAAGCAACTTTTGCATCCAAATGACGCACTTCCTTTTCAAAACAATGACGCTTTCTTATCTGTTAACACAGAACCAAAATGAAGTTTAATGCAAACTAAAAGTCTGAGCAGGCAAGTTGTTCCTGAAGGTCAAAAGTAGTTTTTCTATATGTGTTCAGCATAAAAAAAAAAAAAAAAAAAAAAAAAAAAAAAAAAAAAAAAAAAAGACTCTTTCTAACTGGAAATAATCAAATAATTTTTAAATATACAGGGGCACCTGGGTGGCTCAGTCGGTTATGCGTCCAACTTCGGCTCAGGCCATGCTCTCGCGTTTATGAATTCGAGCCCCACAGCAAGCTGTGTGCTGACAGCTTGCTCAGAGCCTGGAACCTGCTCCGGATTCTGTTTCCCTTTCTCTCTGCCCCTCCCCCGCTCACACTCTGTCTCTGTCTCTTTCAAAAATAAACAAACATTGGGGCGCCTGGGTGGCTCAGTCGGTTAAGCGGCCGACTTCGGCTCAGGTCATGATCTCACGGTCCGTGAGTTCGAGCCCCGCATCGGGCTCTGTGCTGCCAGCTCAGAGCCTGGATCCTGTTTCGGATTCTGTGTCTCCCTCTCTCTGACCCTCCCCCGTTCATGCTCTGTCTCTGTCTCAAAAATAAACGTTAAAAAAAATTTAAAAAAATAAATAAACATTAAAAAAATAAAAAATAAAAAAATAAAAAGTACAAAGTAGCTATATACCAATTAATGCCTTAAGTAAATATTTAACTAATTCCTCATATATAGGAAAGCACCATATACTTTAAAGACATATTATGAATAATGTATTATAATGACACTCTTTTCAATGAGTAATATTATAAAATGAAGTTACAATATTTTATCCTTTAATTTACATCTATGATACGACCCAAGTAAATTGCACAAGGGCCAATTGAAAACTTGATTGATACTTGACTACCTTGTGCAGCTCTAATGGTACTATTTCACTGCCAATAAATTGTTTACCTGCTGTGTAGTTTCTAAGGGTCGAATTCTTTTCTTCTCTACTTGAAAATCATCATTTTCATCTCTTTTTATGGAAGCCTGTTTCTTGGCAGATAGCTTTGCAGCCAACGTAGTTTTTTCAGGAGAGTCTTCTACAAGAAGTCATAAAAAATTAGTATAAATAACTGACACTTAGGCAATTTTTCCAGGAAAAATTAGAACCAAGATGTTAAAGACTCAAAATTTCCTTACTTTAAAACATGAGAAGGTTGACATGTTTAAAAGCATGTATTTACCACTGAGTTTAACAAAGATATAACATTTTGAGAAATATGCTTTCATCAGGAAAGTCCAATTTTGATTTCTTAATAGGCTTATGCTTTTGTAAACCACTCCCGATAATGCGGTTTAAAAAATATAACTGTAAGGGGTGTCTGGCTGGTTCAGTCAGTTGAGCATCCAACTTCAGCTACGTCACAATCTCACAGATTTATGAGTTCAAGCCCCATATTGGACTCTCTGCTGTCAGCACAGAGCTTGCTTTGGAAACTCTGCCCCCCCTCCCCCCTCTCTCTCTCTGCCCCTCTCGTACACTCTCTCTCTCTCAAAATAAATAAACATTAAAATATATATATAAGGGCACCTGGGTGACTCAGTTAGTTAAGTGTTCAGGTCATGATCTCGTGGTTCATGAGTTCGAGCCCCATGTCAGGCTCTGTGTTGACAGCTCAGAGCCTGGAGCCTGCTTAGGATTCTGTGTTTCCCTCTCTCTCTGCCCCTCTCCCGCTCATGCTCGGTCTCTCTCTCAAAAATAAGCATTTAACAAATTTTTAATTAAAAAATATACATTTATATAGATATAGATATCTGTAAGATTCTCCCAAGAAAAGTATTTCATTTATATATACATCTTTCTACAGTATCTCAATGTTTCTTCCCCACTAAGCTTCTAAATGTGAAAGGGCGGGCCTACGCCAGCCGACTCCATCTTGTTCT